GTGAAGGGAGCGATGGCGAATGTGCAGAGAATATCCAATACTTAAAAAAAAACTAAACTAAATTCCCAGTCAATGTAAATGAAAAACAGGACTGCTAGGTGGTTTATTCTTTTTTCAATAATACGTCCCGCAACTTGCTGTGAAACGCGGCAGAGTTATGACGTAGAATATCAACCTGAGAAAATTCGTTATTATAAGTACGACATATTTTTCGTATTGGGGCGCGTAATCCCGCATTCGTGTATGATCGCGGTACATGAAATAGAGATTAATTACAATAGTGAAATAAGGTCAGGGCCTTAAAATATTTCCACCACAATCTAGTTGGCATCCAGTTTAAAATTGTAATCCAATGTAATGTAATGCTCTTAAATCAGCTCAACCAACCACTCAACGTGTGATGCCATGGAATTTAGAATGGTGCCCAGATACTGGTGCTATAGTATTCGATGGTGAAATTTTTGAACTGTTTTGTCACTTTGCTCATTTTCTTTTAACGACTGTTCTCAGAAGCAGTGGTGACAAGTTTCGCCAGACGTCACTTGTCGAGACGCAGGGGACATCCCGCTGGCCTGCAGCTGGTGGAGGTTCGAGACACCGCAGGCGTCTCATTGACCTGCTGCCGGGTGGGAGTTCAAGACGCAAGTCTACTCATCACCACTGGCGTTTGTCGCCTTGGCGTTAGTCGCCTTTGACGTGTGTCGTCAGTTTGCGTTAGTCGCATTGGCGTTTGTCGCCTTGGCGTTAGTCGCCTTTGACGTGTGTCGTCAGTTTGCGTTAGTCGCATAGGCGTTTGTCGCCTTGGCGTTAGTCGCCTTTGACGTGTGTCGTCAGTTGCGTTAGTCGCATAGGCGTTTGTCGCCTTGGCGTTAGTCGCCTCTGACGTGTGTCGTCAGTTGCGTTAGTCGCATAGGCGTTTGTCGCCTTGGCGTTAGTCGCCTTTGACGTGTGTCGTCAGTTGCGTTAGTCGCATAGGCGTTTGTCGCCTTGGCGTTAGTCGCCTTTGACGTGTGTCGTCAGGTGCGTTAGTCGCACGGGCGTTAGTCGCCCTTAACGTTTGTCCTCAGTTGCATCAGCCGCCATCAGCGTTGGTCGCCACTGACGGGAGTCGCCACAGACGGGAGCCGCCAGTGATGGAAGTTGCCGATTGCGTGAGTCGCATTGGCATGAGCTGCACTTCTATGGTGTTGGTAGCCCTTCAAAGGCGTGAGTCACCCGACAATGGTAATGTACTGTGGGGATGTGAAATTGTTGGGATACCGTCGATTTCACACCTTTTTCTTTATTTTCCCTTTATCTGTCTTGGATGCCGTTTAGCTTACATTACTTTGTTTATTTGAAAAACATTTGGACACTACACTCATGCAAACAATAATGTTTCCGATAGTAATGGTGATGTTATTTCAAAATTCAGGATGACAAGGTGCTTCGGCCGGATCGTCTATGCCAAACCTTGAAGACGAAGATCGGGAAGGTGGCGCAGTAGGCGAGGCTACTACTGAACAACAGAGAAAATGTGGCCGAGGACGACCAGGAGTCAGGAGAGGCCGAGTTAGGAAACTCCTTGGTCAAGAAACAAAATAGAAGCCGAGTTAGGAACTCCTTGGAAAAGAAACAAAAATAGAAGCAGTGCGCAAAAAGAAACATCGGCACTTTCTGGTGGTCCGTCGTCGAGGCAACATCGCTCATGGGTTTTCGACTATTAATATTGGTTTAGCAATTAGTCTAAGGCTATTTTAAGGATATTACTCTGTAAGTACTTTAATTGTTGTTTAACTGGAGTTAGCAGGTTATCATTTCATTCCTTTATTTACCTTTTATATTTGTTCATTTTAATTAATATCGCATAGTCAAATTGTCAAATGTCTTACTGTTATTTTATTTTTAAAAATCCGAACGAAGTTCCTTAATATATGATCTTGTATAAATTTTCGTGTTGTTTCTCAAAAACAAGTGTTACAAGGCGAATGTACCGGCGAAATTATTTACAGCGTTCGGCGTTTCAAAAGCTCGCCTTGTGTTTATTGCGCCCATAAATACTGATACAGCACCAGGAATATTTATAACGACTCACCTGTTATTTATTGCTCTCTGCGTCCTGGTTTTTACGCGTTACAATTTTGTCTTGTCAAAATAAAAATTGAGTCATTAAAATAGACCTTTGAGATGTTCCAAATGTGCGATGTTTTTTTTCACGAATGTTCTAGCATTTAAAACCTTCCAAACGTGGAAAGAATACGGAATTTTCGGTATTAAAAGGACTGGATTTCTGCAAATTCAACGAATTTCTGTTTGTATCTTTTTTTCGATGTTTTGGAAAGCGTTAAACAATTTGACACAGTCTTCAAGATTGGTGATGTGGCTTACATGCTATTTTGAACAACTTCATCTAGAACTGAACATTTAAATGAATAAGAATTAGTAACTTTAGATAAGTCGAGAAGTAAATGTTATAAAAATTTTTAGAATAAATTTATAAATTAAATACAAAATATAATATAATTCTTGCAACCACAAAAACCAATTTTCCTCTTCTTGTTGCTTTTAAATGATTATAACGTGGCTTGAAAATAACGAATTATTTCTTAGTACTTGTTCTTTGTAAACACATCGGCGTGTTTAGTTTCGAACAGTAAAACTAGGCATTAACAAGTAACATTATTTATACGGAATCGTGATTACAATTTGAAATGTCATTTGGTTATTTATTGAATAAATTGATTTTACAGTTTGTTTTATGAAATTATCGTTCGTTTCAATCATTTATTAATTATACTTATAATTTAACTAGAAATATTTACGAAGTAATCTTGAATGATATAAGTTGTTAAGTGTTATATATTGACTACGCTCTATTTACATACATAATAAGTTACAAGCGACTTGTTAGGTAATGAATGGACGCAATTATGTACATTTAAATACAAAAAAAGTAAATACAAAAGGCTATATTTGACTAAACGAAACAAGAGCAAGTCGACTCTAAAGCACTTTTCTCTTAAACGTACAAAGCAAACAATGAACAAACGTTTATTACTGATAATATTGACTATTCAAAGTTTATCTAAGCCAAGATAAGATTATGGGAATAAAAAACAATTAGGGGTTGTACGGTTTATGATACTTTCAGAACAGCTTTAAAAGGTCATGAATATTATCTGTTTAGTGAATAATAAGGACGGACTATTTTTATTGCGAACGTTATAAACTCAGGCAAACACGTTAAAGAAACATAATCCATTTTAATCTGTAGACAACAATTGTAAAATATTGTAAAGCCAGTCAAGCTCAACAGTTTTCGTTAAAGGTTCGCCAGTAACACTGTCGAGCTATCCGGTAAACAGTAATTTGGCGGCGGCTTTGATGTCGCCGCATCCGCCCGCCACAATGGCCGGCGTTCCGGGTACACCACATAGCGCCAACATCAATAAATGACTCGGTGCATACATTTAAAATGTAATTGACCTCTTTATGATACTTTAAAATTCTTCTTTAAAATAAAATTTAAGGTATCATAGTCATATGGACCCAACCCTGATATTTATTTGCTATTTATTGCATAAAACATTTTATTTGGCTAATAAAATAAAGCGATTCATGAATTTCTTTCATCTCATGATTTAGGGGAGCTTGAGCATTTAATTTTTTGCTCTATTTCGCAGCAAATCTCTTTAATTCATAACATTCATGCGTGAATAAATAATGCTTTTTGTGTTTTTGTGTTAGCTATTATGGTCAGTGAAGCGTAAAATACTTTGATTTATATTTGCCTCAGAGTTTAGCATCGATTTTATACAATGTAAGAGTGCATTGAGCTCGATAATCCTTAAATATAAAGTTTTACTATTACAAACACAACCATTTAAATTTTAAATAACTTTAGCTACAATTTTATAACTTAAAAATATTTTGATGAAAAAGAGTCTTATAAGTTTAGATATATACAATTGCCTAAAATTATGTCTAAGAACACAATTTATAGCCACATATTCACAATTAAATAAAATTTAGTTTGAAAAGAGAGTAAATCTAATCGTTGATTGCCAACAACCCCATAAATCCATTAAGATAAACCTATCTATGGAGATAAGACCCCATTAGTGTGGGTCAGTGGTACGTCGTTTATGCTTTTTGAATACTTATCGATACAATTTTCAGTAAAGCAGTATTTACTGGTATGAATACATTTTGTATACGGATTATTTCTCACCAAGTAGACCTCAGGAATCAGGACGGTTTAAATATACTAACAATTATATATATTTAAAACACAAGATTTAAATATAAATGCTCCATAAGTAAACAGTAATATAAACAATCAGTACTATATAAAAGTGTTATAAAGTTAGAAATAAAATATTTCCCTTGTAGAACAATATGAGGCAACAAAAACCTGAACTAAAATGTTGGCGGAACATTTCAATTCAGCAGCTAACAAGTGATAACGTCGCAATCGGAGCACGTACACCATGATTTAGTCACAAACTAGACCAACAACAAACAGGGAGGCGCCTGTGCTCCTAAATAAACACTAAAATGCCCACGTCCCTAATTTATAGAAAACCTTCGTTCCGCAGACCCCGTATCGCAATAAACATGTTTTTTGTTTCGCATGTCCGCGCACTGTCAAATATATTACAACCCGCCGCGTTATTTACGACCTCTGTCGTCCGCCCATACGTTATACTTAGTATCTTTGTTTGGACACAATAAGCAATATTTCTAAAGGGCCGACGTCGTTCGCAGCTGTTGATATGGGTTCCCAAATTGACATATTTAATTTGATCGTAAGGGCCCGTTTGAACGGCATGTTTGACAGGTTTTAGTGTCAGATTAACATTAACTTTATGGGGTCTGTAATGTCAATAAAGAGAAATATCAAGAGATATAAACAAAACGCCAGTAAAACAACATTTCAAACGGCTACATGGAAAGGCCATAGAACCGATAAATTCTTCTCTTTGAACTGAGCGCAACTGTAAAAGAGTAAGTAGTTTCAAATGTGTCAGCAGCAAAGCGCCGACGAGTGGAACGTTGTCGAAAGCGTAATAAAAGTGGCGCGTAACAAAAAAGCTGCGGCGTGTAGTGGACCGGGCAGGTAGAGTCGGCGGTTCAAAGCAATACCATCATGGGTGGCTCGCCACCAACGCCATCGCACGTCTCAATCCGCACCCGTCTGCTCGCCATGCCGCCTTTCCTTTTTCCCCTACCGCAATGCAGCTATGTGTCGTTTCCGCTTTATTTTTTATGGTTGTAAGCTGCAGCGGAGAGATATAGCGCCGCTTCTCTAACAAAGACTTGAGATATGGCCTTCTCTGTCTAGCGGGGGGAGGGAAAGGAGCGGGGTTGTAACGTTGTACGCTGGTGGGGTCTCGTCTCTCACAGTCAACTCAACCGCTGCCTCGGACGCACGCCAACGTTTACAACATTCCGCGCGACCGTGTCAAAGAGTAGTTGTGCTAACAGAACTGACAGTGAACAACGTAAAGTGAAATAAGTGTTCGTGAAAGTTGATCTCCAAATGGTGGTACTTGAAGACGGAGTAATGATGACTACAAATCCGAACCAATACTTGCAACCAGATTATTTAACTCCACTTCCATCAACTGTAAGTATCACTCATTTTTATTTTTTTTATGAAAAAAAATTTAAATTGGAAAAAAGCAATATTTTATAAATGCTTGTTACATACTATAACCTACATTTTCTTTTGTTACAGTTGGACTCCAAAAAAAGTCCGCTTGCGCTTTTAGCGCAAACATGCAGTCAAATAGGCGCTGATACGCTTCCCAGTAAGCCTCTTCTGCCTCCACTTGAGAAAAAGAAAACAGTGAACAGTGTTAACAGTGATGCAATTAGTCGTTCTTCACCTAGTGCGAAAATGGATAAACCTCGTTCTTCGCCGGAGAGTAAACATTTAGCTTTCAAACCATATGAAACTAATGTTGTTACGAAGAAACCTGAAGAAACAAGACCAACTTCCAAAGCAAGTTCAGATATTTCTGATGATAAAAAATCTGGAAAAAGTACACCAGGTAGAAAATCTACCCCACCATCAACTGAAAATGGAAAGAGCAGTCCTTTAAATGAACAAAAATCTTCACCCGCTGGATCATCCGGTACTAGCCCGATTATTCGTTCAGGATTAGAAGTTTTAGGGCATGGAAAGGATCATCTTGGCGCTTTTAAGAATATTCCTGGATTAGCTGGATTTAATCCTTTAGCTGGATTATGCTGCCCTCCTGGAATGGAACAACATGCTAATCCAGCATTCCGTCCGCCTTATGCTGGAGCTCCCTTAAGTGCACATCACGCTGCTATGCTCGCAGCAGCTGCTGGTTTTCCTGGCTCTTCACCAAATCCCTACCTTGGATATGCTAGAGTTAAAACCCCCGCGGGAGGAGAGACATTAGTTCCAGTATGCAAAGACCCATATTGCACTGGCTGCCAATTTTCAGTTAACAATCACCACCTTCTTATGAGTAACGGTGCTTGTCCTGCTGGATGTACTCAATGTGATCATCAAAAATATAATTTGGCGATGGCTATGGCTCTTTCACAACAAGGGGCTGCAGGCCTTCCTTACACACAAATGAGTCGGCCTTATATTTGTAACTGGATTGTTGGAGAGTCTTACTGCGGTAAGAGATTTGGAAATTCTGAAGAGCTTTTACAACATTTAAGAAGTCATACTACAGACGGATCGACTCCAGTATCGTCTACGTCCTCCCAACCTTCTCTAATGAATCCACTAAATCCTTTATTTACGACCGCCGGTCTCCGCAGCGCTTACCCGACGGCCCCGCTAAGTCCTTTGTCTGCAAGCAGATACCACCCGTATTCAAAAGCTGCCCTTTCAGCAAGCTTGGGAGCATCTCCTTATGGAGCTTTTAATCCTGCTCTTGGCGCTTTCTACTCACCCTATGCAATGTATGGACAAAGAATTGGAGCAGCCGCTGTGCACCAATAATACAAAACCGTGTGACATCGTGACTGACAATTATTAAATATTTGTAATGTCCAATTTTCTTCTGTGATATCAATAGACTAATTGATGTTGTAAGGCGGAATTAGCTTTGACAAATTTAGTAAATAGTGCAATCTTAGTGAGTAATATTATAAATTTATTTGCCTAGTTTGTTTGTAAGCGGGTGATGTAAGAATATAATATAAAGACTATGTATAGCCAAATGATGTGGTTTTGTGTAAATAATAATGTCTATGTTTAATATTACACGAAAAAATTTAAATACAATATCTTTGTGAAAATTATATGGTTTTTTAATACCTCTTCTCAAAAACTTAAAGTAAAAATATATATATATATATAAATTAAATTATAAATTTAATATTTATCTAATTTGTTGACTGAAATTATTTAAATTTTAATTGACAGAAAAGAACATTATTAAATTCTAAAATATCTTTAACTTACAATGGGAGTTAGTTATACCAACTTTCCATTAATAAGCGTAGCAATAAACAGAACTGAATGATTGATAAATGTACTTCTAACATTCACATTAGTGCCATCAATCATTTGAAATATAGCGTGATAAAAGTCTGAGAGCACGCAAACATTAAACTCTGCTACCGCTCATGTAAAAAACAAGCTACAAAATAATTTAACATTATTGAAAAGCATAAAAAATGAGAAGCACACGCAAGAAACGCTCAACGTCATTAATAACAAAGCCGTGAGCTGTCAGCTTTGTTAATGCGGTGTTTTTTTAATAAATGCTATTTTGATTAGGCCCATGTCATGTCGAAAATTCAACTGTCAAAATCATAATTGGTCGCACGAAAAGACTGAGAGGCAGGTGATAGTGTAGCTTCGAACAGAGATTTGATAAATTTATAATGTATGCTGTAAGTTTTTTTTTCTGAATAATGACCATAATTAATACGTGGTATTTATAAATTACATACTTTATTTTTGATGCATTTTATGTTTCTTATTTCGTTGAGTTTTAGCTCCTTTCGTTGCGAAAAAAAATAACCTTCATTAATTAGAAAAAACTCAATTGGATGCATTAACCTTAAACAACGCCGACATAAATTAATGCATTAAAATAAGTTATATCATAAAAATATTTTATTTTAATTAAAATCATTGATAAAGTGTAGTAAATAATACATATCACGAGGCGTAGCGCACGTTATTATTGAAATGTGACTTGTTTTAAATTATATTTTATAGGGTATCAATCACGATAGCTATAAAATTAAGTAGTTTGCAGTTGATAACTTAGCACGACTTTGACATAGTTTGTCATTCATTGTATAGTTAAAAATAAATTCGAAACAAGTGATGCCATCTAGTTTGTTAAGGCAGTACTACTATTTGAAATGGAATCTAAATTATGCTTCAAGTTTTTTTTAAATAAAATATGAATTTTTATAAGGAATTCTTTGAAACTTTTTAAAAATTTAAGTGATATTTTTGGCATGTTTTGAATAATACCATCATTGTGTCTTGACACTGATGATACATCTGTATAAACATAACTTTCCTTTTACTCTCACTGTGTGATTCTTTTTTGACAGATGAAGAGAGATGAGCTTCAGTGTAATCCCTGAATATAAGCAATTACAATTAGCATAAGCATAAGGTGAAGAGAATTAACATATATAAATTATGCATGCTGGGTATTATAGACCCAACAGCGAATTAGAGGGTTACTCTGTTCAATGCTCTATTGAACCGTTGGGTTATGTTAATTGATTCCTACCTGGATTTAAATAGAAATTATGCTTAAGCAGGATGTAAATTGTAAAGTTTTTTTTCGTGTTTAACGAAAGGTTAAATTTCAAATTATTTTACTTATTCAATTTAATTTAAATCAGTATATTAAGTACTTTTACTTCGTGGTAATATATACATGATCAAGATGTGTTGTAAATGTTAAATATTTAAATAAATCCATTATACTGACACAATGGCAGTGTACCGATTGTGAATATTTTCAAATGAATAATTTGTTTCTCTGTTGTGAGTTGTTTATTGTGTACATATAAGTCGTAATACTGTTTGATTATATTAAATTATTTTATGTAAATATAAATAATACGATAAATAAAATTGAATATTAATTGCGATAAAGATATCCTTAAGCTATTTTATTGCGGATATGAGTTTTTAATTCGTATGATTTACAACAAATTAAATATAAATTATAAATCAATTATTTAAAAAAATATGTATTATTAAATATTGTTTAATAATAAAACAAAAATAGGTACATCAATCATTTGAATGCTAGTAATTTCATTATTATTTTTCTTTTGTTTTTGGTAAATAATAATTATTCTCCTAGTACTATTGTTACAGTCAAAGAATAATTGTTTAATAACCGATAAAAATATTTTTATAATACAGGTGAAATTTGCATAAGAAATGAAAACAATACAGTTATGTTAATAAAATGACATGTTTGTAACCGTGAATTATTTTACAGAAATGAGGTTAAACTTAAAAGTATGTGACTATATAATAGTATTGATAAGAGAACATGTGTATGGTGCAAGTGAAGGACGGCAGCTGCGAAAAGAAATTGAAATTCATGGGTCTTTTTAAAGTAGTAATTATTTCAATAGTACCAACCTTTATACCACTGCTAGATTAAGTTTAATAATTTAGGTTCATGCTATCTTTGAAATAAGAAAGAAGAAAGATTATATGATAATAAGTGAAGTTAATGAACCACATTTAATTGATTAACTATTACAAAAAAATGTGATGTTAGGGTGATAGCAATAAACAATTAAATTTATTATTGTGTTTAACTTTAAAAGGATATTAAGAATCAAAGTTTCTTAATCGTTATGAAAATTCTGGCGATTCAATTGTGACAAAGTCCAATTTGCTTTAATGTAATAATATGATGTTGTAATACAACATAAGTCGCTGACGGTTCTTTACTTGATCTATACGATAAACAATAAAAGTTGAATTAGTTATGACTATATAATATATATCTTAAGGTAAATGCAATTATACATATGAACGCAATTTACAATTGTCATTTAATTATTTCGCAATTTATATCGATGAATTGCATCGCCATTGTTTATATTAATTCTATTCGTCCATTGCCATGCATGTCTTTGTTTTTTACTTGTAATTAAATATATTGTGTTCTTATTTTTAATGAGTTATGCATTAATTAAATTTTTATATTCTTTTTTAAATACACAACGAAGGTAATTACAATTTCCCATACAAAAATGTCTCGCTTTTGTTATCAGGTAATTATTTTTTGTTTAATGACACATTGTTTTCACTTAACAATATAACACAAAGAACATTTTTAACAATTTATCTGACAAATTATATAGGATTCTTTGGGGTTAATTAGGCCTTTTATAATATGTGCGTAATAACAGAGAGGGAACAGTTTATTGTTTCTAAAGTTAAGGTATATTTTGATTTCATATTTATATAATTATTTGGCATATATATTTATACATGTATGTTAAATAACAAAACAAAAAACATGATATTTATAGGTTTCTTCTTAAAATCAAGTTTATTTCATCACTTATCTTGAGCCATAATTGAAGTTTTAGATATCTTACTAAAATTAGTAATTCTTTTCATCTAGATTCTTCTTTAAATTATAATTTAAATATAATTCATATAATAGTGCTAATTTATTTATATTTATCGAAAAGAAGGAGTTTTATTTGATCTTTAAATTCATTGTGTCCATTCACTCTATGCACGAAAGGTAAATTAAATCTTCAATCGTAAAAGAGGACTATTTAGCCAAATTAACAAAAAAACTTGCAACATTCACTGAAACTCTCAAATACAGAATTCAAAGGACGCAGCAATTTTCACGTCTCCTATTCCGACAAAGATTAATGCTGCAATAGAGGCAGCACAATTTGAACTGTAGCTCCCAACCTCACAGGATACAATATTTTATGTTGACAGACATTACAGCGCTTATACGAGCGTTTATTCTTTGTGTCTCGTATTTTATTTGCTTTATGACGGTCTGGGACCACAGAGGTTTACATTTAAATTATTTGTGTCACGCAATTCGAAACTTTACATATGTTACAATAAGACCGTGACATCAGTTTCGGGGATCATATGTAAACTTGTATAAGTATAATAGTCGTGGATACCGGTTGTGTGTTTGTTAGTATTTTATTTCGGAGCGTTCTCGCGTCATAAAATAATGGCGTAATGCAGAGTCGTAAATCAATTTTCCTTTTGAACGACGAAGTTTATAATGAAGGTTGGTGGATTATGGCCGCGGAGTGTCAAAGTGGGTTTAAATCCCGAGCAGATTGTGTTTTATTATTAATATGTTCAACGAATTATTATGATTTATTCTCATTTAATATTCAAAACGAGAATTAACTTAAATTTAGAATTATTATCTTGGCTGAAATCGAATTAATTAAATTGACTAAAACTATAGTGTGTTATTAAAGACACTTGGTGTATTAAATTGTCGAAAATCTATAATACTTATGTGACCAAAGTTATCGTCTCTGCCTTAACATATGTGTCTTTGCTGTACATAGTAAAGGTCTGTTCATAAATCTTCATTGCGTTCCGAAGACACGCCGCGACACGTCTCGCTACCGGGCTCGTGATACTCTCATTTCACAGAGGTATCAAGTTTCAAATAACCATTAATCAATTTTATACTTTATTTTCTCGCAGTAAGTCTGAAAGTTCTACTTTGTTTTCCTTCACATATCCTGTATCATTCAGAGATCCCTATATTTCTTCTAATAGGATATTTTCATTGTATTTTGAGCCAATGTCGCTGGTGATAAAGACGATTTTTAAGCAGCTTTTCAATGTGGAACTTTGTTCTTTTCGCTAGATTTATAAGGGTGGGTATCTATAAGGTCATTAGTGCCCAAGCTGTCGTTAATTAAAAAGGAGCTTTAAATTATTTGATTAAGCTTTATTTTCGAAAGAATGTCGCGATCGAGTGTGGCAACAACATTATCCCCGTGACAAGTAACGTCAGGCTGTCGATCAATATAATATATGTGCGGCGCTGTCAGCTGTCTTAACGCTTGAATGATTCACTTCGTGATAAATTTTAGCTTATGATTACCTTTCAGACATACGTCAATACGTCTGTTTACGTAATTACAGGCTCTATGTTTAGTGGCTTTCAGGTCGTTTTATGACGAAACGGAAGCGGGAACGCTCATTATTTTGACGGCGTCGGGTCAAAGTATTTGTGAGCGAGCATGATTTATAGATCGAATCTGTGGGCGTGATGAATCAAACGTGTTGTTACGAAGATTCAAATCTAAATCATGTTATTATTTAATATCCACTACCTCGAAACCATTAAGTCACGATGTTTCTTAAATATTTAGGCTACAAACTGTTTGCAAACAAAATATATTTTAATATAAAAATATATTAATTAGCCGTCATATATGAAGATCTTAATTGCATGATGGAAGAGTGAGTTAAAAATATGAAGTAAACTGAGTTACTAATCTCATGTATGATATGATATGTTGCCTCGTTAATAACTCAAATGAACCATGAATTTTTAATAATGATATTAAAGCTCCATCTGCCATGTATCAGTTTTAATTACAGAGATCAGCGTATAGGGTTGCACCATCATTCTATCGATAGATTAGTTATATTAAATATTTTTTTATTCATTTTCTTTCTTTAAAAATTATATTTTATGCGCCACAAATAATCTGCACTCATTCCAATATTAATTACGATCTTGATGAAATACATAGATTACTATTTCGTTTGATTTACGTTTAAATCGTGATAAAAACAATCATTATCGGTAATTAATTACAGTGTTCTATTTAAAATATTTATAGAAGACCTCGTGACTTCACATTGTTTTTAGAAGATCACATATCAACACGAACATTTAATTTTACTTTTATTTATTGTATTAAATATATTATTTTAAATACATCAATATATTAGCACTTGAAAAATATAATTATGCAGATATTGTAGGTACATGTTTTGATATTTATTATCAATGATTATGAATTCCCACGCATACGATGGAATGTCGTTTAATTTGCAATATTTGTCTATTACTTAACTTAATAGTATTACTATTTCCAGTATTTATTGAATATTAAGAAACCATATAATGTTTTAGATACGTGCAAGTTGTAACGATGTATTGTTATAGAATTTAAAGTACCATATGTAGATGGGGTTGATACAAATTCATTACATCTTTGAATGACAATGGACAGGTAACGACTCATTGGTCTCATTTAAATTTTAAATATTAATGTCGTAGGGTTAAAGCCGGCCGGTCGTCCATCAATGACAAGTTATCAGATGATCTTGAAGTTTGAAACATAAAAAGCTACTGCCATTTTCAGATACAAAACTAGCTTTCTGCATGCAGAGGACGATCGGCTTTAAATTAAAGTCGTTTTCACAGTAACCATTTTATTTCTTACCTGAAAATTAAAAATATTTAAATTTTAATTTTAAACTCCATATTTCGGGTGGTAACAAGTACAGTTTATTCAGCGAGTAACAGTTGTAAGATTTTTCATATTTTATTTTGGTATATTGTGTAGGTACTTAATTATTATAAATTAATAAAAATATATACTTCAAAATACATTGATATATAGGTTATATATAATATTATATTAAATTAAATCAAAAATAAAGCTTACGAGTAACATTACATATAATTTTTCAAAACTAAAACCAGAATCAATGGGAGCTATAAACATACCCTTAGAACGTCTGCATGTCCGTCAACAGTTAAAGGCATGCATCAAAGTCAGTCTTATCAGCTACCGGCTCCTTTGCGAAGATGTGAATGCTTACATCGCTCCTATAAACAAACCATTCAATGAACACACAAGATTTTATCTCTCACAAAGAATTTAATTTATAAATCATAACGCTTGTATTAAGTAGTAATAGTTTTAGATCTTCCATAATTAATCATATTCATATTAATGCGATCCTAAAGATTACTAAGACATTTTTATTAATTGTTAACATAAAATTGCTTTGAACTATGTTTTTCAGATTTAATTCACATATTATAGTATTCGCGAATAAACACTACATTTTGATGAAATCCGAAAACAGAATACCTAATATAAATTTGAATCCGTCGAAGTCTTAGATTTTATTATGCGCATAAGTAATGTCTGTAAGCTTCATTTTAAACGATACACTTAATAATGTAAATGTAACTAACTAGGGTGGTCTAATTTAAAGAATGAGTTTTACTTGACATATTCGATATCACAAAATCTCTCTCAGGTGAGCAGCGATTTAAGGCTCTCGTTAATCTTATTAGGAAGATTAATGTACAGACGCGGAGGTTAAGACATCGCACAAATCAACGCCGAATAATGAATGCAGCGATCAGGGAACAAATGATGTCGACATAAAATACTATCAGAATTATTTGGGACAATTCATTAGAGACCCTCTACGCTTTTCGATTGCCGCGATTCGTCACACTAGCGACAGATGGATATCCATCCCATACGAAGTGCCAAGAAGAAATGGTTGCAGTAAATCATGCGATGGTCGACAATCCCGCGCAGTCGACGTCGATACATCAAGTGTAATGCCTCGGATACCGCGGCCAGATAATCGAATGTGAGCATCGGCTCGTTGTGCTGGAAATAAGATGAGCTCTCGGGTTTTGAATAGTCCAAAACGTCGTATAATATCACAGGATCAGAGCTAATATCATCTGTAAGAATTTATATTATAAAATTTATTACCTCGTATCAATAAAACTTTGAATAATTGAATTTCTATTCATGTCGAGTAAAGTATGTTGCAAATAAAGCTGATTTTCGTGTGTGCTTCGGAATCAGTTGTCGTCGTCTAGCGAGCGCTGATAGATCTGTAAAGTTTGCCGCGGACAGGAATATATCGTGTGGTTGCCTCTGTGCGGCTTTATTTATACATAACATCTGTTTGAAGTTGAATCTACCGCGCAGCGCGGACGGGGAGCGCATTACTGGAGATTTATTCCGCGTCTTAATTGTGAATCGATGGGTTAATGAAGATAAAACCCACGGCTGTGTTGTAAATTAGCTCGCGTGTCGACTCGTAACTCCGATAAAGGCCTTCTTTATTGCTCTGTTTGTTTTCTCGGACCGTACTTCAAAGGGAACGGAGATAAACACTACTTTTATGCGAATTTATTTATTAGTATGCTTTGAAATGCAAGCATGAGTATGCTTACTAGTACAGTAATCGGTAATTTTAAGACGTATCCAATATAAAAAATATAAATCAAATGACGGGATTGTTTTTAATTCCAATTAACCACCTTGTTTATAAATTAGTTATCGTCAGTCACCTGTAAACAAAAGCCATAGAGTGAGACAAATCGACACGAAAGCTACTCGCACACAGTTTGATATTGACAAGACCATCGGTCCCTTGGTGAACGTACGTTGTGAGAGACATTTGTTATATCGTGACACAGATTAATTTTTTTGATATATAATTCTGTTAACACACTTGCCTTTAAGCGCACTTCTAATATGGTCATAATATAGTCTGTGGCTCATACAAGATATAGAGTTGCTACGTAGAATCATGAAACAGCCCCATGCGGTCACACACTCGCATCTAATGGCCGTGATTCGACAAGTACAAATGGCCCCTGTGACAAATGTTCCGTAGACGACCTCGTGTCACACGATGCGACGTAAGTTCAAACAGACTATGCCAATATCGGACTTATTGTACTCCGTCTTCAATATTCCAGTCTCCGCAGACTTGTTTTAAATTAAGTACAGAAAGAACATTACTTGATATTTTAACGAGTATTTTCATACATCTGATTGTGGATGTCTTCCCTAACTTATTTGAATGGAAACAGACAGTTGTATATTTTTTATATATGTTGTGTTGAATTAAAACCCATAAGGCTATTTATCGCTTGGCAGGTTAGTTGGGTGAAGAATGATAAGTGATTGTACTCTATATTGATTGCGTTCTCAGTTCCCTATCCAATGCCCATCAAGGGTTTCATACAGAGGATGTAGGAAAAATACGCTATACAATATAAAGTGGAAACAAGGTATGTTTCCCTAGTGCCGATTTCCTTTTCATGTTAAGTCCAACCGCAAAGGGACCTATGAGGTGCCAGTGATTTATGAGGTTACGCCACCAATTTACTGTGAAGTTTGGGTATGGCGTTACTACGTCACTTGACAAACGATGGTAAAATAAAGTGTGTAATTCAAGTGATTGGGTGAAATATGATACTTTTTGATAAAATCTATTGGAAGACCATTAAAAGGGAAGAAATAAATCTTAAAACGTAGATGTAGGCGATTTGTCTTCTAATGAAGAAAAGTGTGCCCTCAGGATGCTTTATCGTCGATCTGTGTAATTAAAACGTTACCCGGAGGAAATGTGCGGTAATAACAATAAATCTAGTGCGCTCGTAACTTGACCGTGGCTGCGTCGAGACACGACGTTAATAACCGGCGTTGGAGGGTAAATGCGGTATTACTGAATATTTGATGACAGCAAATGAATCAGAGGTCCTTTGTCCGCTCCTGAAAGAGGTTTGGATGGACAAGGAGTAATAAATGTTAGTAAGGAAATTAAAACACTTGTAATGATATTGTTATGTAAAATTAGTTATTTTAAATGTTCACGATGGAGCTGTGTAGAATATTATAGCTTTGTTTTTGTAATAATTCAAAATATCTGTTTGAAATATTTAAGTTATTATTATGACTTTATAATAATAACTTTTAAAATATTTCAATAACATCCATAGTATTAAACGAGACTTTAATAGGACTTAATGTTTAAAAATCCTCTAAATCCGACCCCAGTAAGTTAAAAGATGCAATTCTAGAAAACCATTAACAGTTTTTAAGCATTGTCTTTAAGAAGCTTGCCATTAGCACAAGCATTTGTTTCCTCTAGATAACATCAACGGCTAATGAGCCGTCGCCTTTCCCAGTTTAATCTGCACCTTTGGCTTTTTGCTTCTCGCACGACTTAGTGTTGGTTTAGATTTAAATAGCTTTTCAAAAATTTTACCCATACCTTCTTGATATTCTGATAAAGGTTGGTAATTATTATAAGAGTGTAATTCACAAGTAACATCAATTACTTTCTTATTTTGTGTAAATTACAAAAAAACATTTTCGTGTTGTCAGCTTGAAGTTCATCTTATAATATGCATGGAGCTAAATTATATCAAACATATTAAACTTGAGCCGAATCTAATCAATCTTACATTACACAACACAATAACAAAGATGTCAGTCACCTCCATGAGGCTGTTTGTTAGCGAAAGTGCCCCTAAACTAGGTACATAAATTATTTTGTCTGCCCAAGTGTAAGGAACTCCTCAGGAATTTATTACAGATTCATCTCCAAGTTGTAGGAGATAGCGAATATGTATTGTATAATAAACGTATAATGATAATATTAGGATAATATGTCTTTGGATTCATAGAATTCTCGTTATGGAAAATATTTTGTGACTTATTATTTACCGTTCGCATTTTATTGTTATAGGTATTAGAAATAAATTCTTTAAAAAAATTATAGTTTTAAGCTGTGCAATTTATCAAAACAAATAAAATGGAAGAACTATTTCTATAACCAATAATAAATTAAGTAAACTGAAACATGCCTTGATCTTTGTATGAGCTGATTCAAAATAAGAAATTTTTTTGCGCCAAGCGACTTGGAAAAATAGTAGCAAGTGCCGACAACCACTTTGTATGTAACAGAGAAGGTAAAATATTATTCGCAGTGGAAAATCTATTTTTTAGTAGGGAAGAGTTTATTTAAAAATGATGATAGCGCCCTTTCTTAACCGACTTCAAAATAGGAGGAGGTTCTCACTTCCTATGAATCTTTATTTTATGTATGTGCCTTGATTTCCCGAATACTTCTAGACCATTTTAGAAATTCTTTTTTATCTGGAAGGATATAGATTTCTATAAGGGAATCCTCTAAAAAATCAGGATAAAAAAATGAAAATCAATAAAAACGTTGCTGATTAAAATTTTTCAGCATTTTCCAAATTACCGAGGGTACTCATATTATTGTGACGAATCATTCTCTCTTCTGCTGTTTTAGATTAGTTTAGGTTTGGTTTAATTTAGGTTTAGGATACTTTTAGGTCGTTCTTAATTAAATTAAGTGTTTAGTTACTTAGCCTATAGAAGGCATCGACGTCAAAAAGCGACTAGATATTAAGAAATTGTATATATTTAGTTATTATTGAATTAGATTATTGGAAAGTAAATAAAAATAGTGTTCGTTTATTTAAGAAAGACGACTTTTGTCCAGATATTCAAAATTTAATAGTAGACAGGTTTGTTTAGGAAATGGTATGTAAGTGTTAGTTTTTTTTTTACTTTTTAGTTCTTGAGTGTCTATGTAGTTTTCTTTAAAGTCGGATTTTCTACTTACTCTTTTTCTTCTACTCTGTTTCAGGAACGTTTTGTTGAATTATCTTTTGTTCAGGATTCTTGACTCTATCATAAAAAAAATGTTTTTGTATCGGATGTTATACTATTTTTTTATCAATTTAGTTTGTTTTATAAACAAATATTTTTAGTATTTAGTCCTTTTATGAAACCTGTACATAGTCTTTTTTGTATTTTTTTATGTAAGTTTATTCGAGGAAAGTTGTTGCAAAGAATATAATTTTCTGTATTTAAAACATGGAGTACATTATAATTGACTGATTTAATTTATATAGCTATTTCGAAAATTCAATGGGAAAAATGGATTGAGACAAGTATATTGAATGGTAGTTATAGCTAATGTTTGAAATCTTAAGTAACTTTGTTTTGTGTATTTAGTTTTAGGAACGATTTCTATTTTTATCTCTAGCTTTTTTGAGGACATTATGTTTGATTAATAATAATTAATTAATTAATATTTTTCGCGTATGCAGGCCAATAATATTTATACGTTTTATGCCATTTCATGTTTTAATCTTTATTTCGTTGAGTGAAGTTATAGCTGATTTCTTTTATAAAATCTTAAAAAGTTAAAATTCACGAATCTCAATGGCTATATATCTTAACTTTAATAATAACCCAATTCGTATTTCAAATCGCAATTACTCCTCCTTTTAAAGTAAAATCCGGAATTGAAAAACGCTCGAATTCGCAACTGTACCTGGATTTGAATTATATTTCCAGAGTGAAATATGTGGCAATTCCTTTGAATAATACATACGTAATATTTCAAGCTGCACGGCCTAGCACAGATATATCGGGGAAGCTACCGCCATGTTTCAACTTGTTTTATTTTGTAATCTCGCGTCACAACGTCTTTGTTACATTGTTGGATTGTATCACTTGTATCGGCTCTCATACTCTCATCTCTTAAATAGATGTAAACGTATTCTTTTACAAATAGTAGAATATAACTTACAGAAAATATCTTATTTATATAACAGTACCAATTTTTTTAATGCAATTCCAAAAAGAAACTCATAAAAAAGACATAAAAGTAACAGATTTTGTGCTTATCATAGTTATAGTGACAAACCTCAAAAATATAAAAATTAACACTCGTTTTACAAAAATGTCACCTGGCAACTTTTTCAAATCCCGTATATGTTCACAAAAACTCCAATGGCCAATTTATCACGCGGGACTTCTTTTGAGAGATAATATATTGGAACATTAGACTATAATAGAGGAGCTGTCGAGTCGTCCATCATGTTTTTATGCGGTATGTAGCATTTGCAAGCAATTTAGAACCTAATCAGACGAGATAAAGTGGAATATCCAACGGACAAAATTATCTGCCAACTTTCACGCAGTGCAATCTTGGAAGCGTGTGTCTATAAATTCGCTTAAATCGTTTTCAAGTTATTGTTTGCGTAGACTTCTTTCAAAGGCATAATGTTATCGTCTGAATCATTCTTTATTGTGTATTTGGTAAGCTGACATTCATAAATCATTCCAAATCTTAATACGCGTTTTGGTTAACGAAATACTTTGAATACATTCATAGAATTCATAGAATCTTAATACTTTATATGAGTATAAATTCTGAAAAGTAATTACGAGGTTTTATTCTCGCTGAAGTGGTATAAAGTAAAATGACGACATTAAAGTAATTTCTTTTAACAACTAACTGTATGTTTATTATACTACATCAACATTTTACGAATGTTTTTACGAAAAGCGGGTCATAAACAGTAAACATTACAGCTTGTGGGAGTGCTCTTAAACGTAAAAGGCACCATAAGTTTGAGTTACTCTGTCTCTAATGAATATGGCCTCTGTATATTTCAATTTGGCAACAGTAACGTGGTCATAATACTTTGATACGGTAATATCATCTTTATTTATCTGGCTATGATGGTTACTATCGCTTGAGCAGTTTTATTATTCTTTGCCTTTAAAATTAGAGAGCTTGAAGTAAC